CCTTACTCATGAAGGGTCCCACTAGGCACAGCAATGGATTTTGTTAATTCTTAACACCAGCATAAGAAAAATAACACATCTTCCACAGGGTTATTTAAGATTCTTCTGTACTTACAGGTAACTTTAGAAAAAAAAACAAAACTGTATCTGAGAAGCACATGACCTCTTTCAGAGCAAGTTTCTCATGCGGATGAAGGACTGGGATAAGAGGTTTCCCACTTATGATGTGGGAAGGCCAGCTTTACGCTATGAACGTCTGTCACACCAGTTAACACGGCAGTGAAGCTGAACCTGTGAACTCACACAGCTAACAAAGGACTGTACCATATCTTATCTTTCCTGACACAGCCTTTTCAGAGCCACCTGGACTAAACTGGCCTGTCAGAAGCACGTTTTTGCTGTATGACCTGCGATTTCACAAGTGCCTTGCTTGCAGAGTCTGCTCCTTTCTCTACACTGACGGAAGTGGTTACACTAGTGTTAACTTCCTGGCGTGTATCAGCCCAATGCTCTGGTTTTTGCCTTGGTAGAGCTCTGCAGGACTATGTGCACAATCCTTTCCTGTTCCTTTGAGGAAAACAACAACAATATTGACCTCTTGTTTTCCACGTGCAAAAATGGGAGTCAGATAGTGACATATGATAGAGTTCATAACTTTTTGGGCACCTCACTTGCAAACCCATCAGCTTTGTCTCTGCCCACAGCACAACACAACCAGCACCGGGAAAAAGCTTGCCTTCTGCAGTTTGACTCCACCTACAGAAATTCCACATTCTTCCCCTTTATGTGATGCAGACTTAATCTTCCCATTTCTCTCACCCAGGATGTTAGTATGATGGATCCTCTCCTTTTCAAAATTCTTTCCACTTTCAAAATTCTTTCCCACTACAAGGAAAACGTTTAAACTACTCCTCCCTCCTTCCCAGCTTCATTTGATTCTGACCTTTGCCACAGGACATCAATCTCAAACACAGACAAACAACTCCTTTACTACCTGAAGCTTGAATTACACTACACCACCTCTGCAAGCAGAAACTGTCATTTTCCATTACAGACCAGCATAATCCATCTCTTTTGCTGCTGGAGTAAAGTGTCTGTGAGCACAGAACACAGAAGCAGTGACTCAATACCACTAAGGATGCACCGCAGCAGTACAGCAATGTCAGCAGTCCTGCTGACCTAAGGCAACTTTGTTATGTATTGATATAAGAGCTCACAGCAGACACATGCAGTATCAGCAAAATCTGTCACAAGTTACAGTAAGATAACTGCAATTTTTAGAATTTTATGGCTGCTAATGGGCAATGCAGCCTTGACATAAAGTGCCTATCCACAACTTTCAACCACACAGCTTTTCAGCTGATGATTAGATCTTTAATGTTGATTACTACAATTTCATCCTTTTTGCCTTAAATACCAAGAAGCCCACATGAATTCAGCTCCAGAAAACAGTACCAGAATTACTTGCCAGTAACAGTTACACACCAATTGGGGCTTGTGTTCTAATTCAAGATTATGTGCTTAAATCAGTGTGAATTACAACTAAAAAGAACTGGAACAGACATGTTGGACATCGTACTTGGAGCAGGTATACATGCATATCATTTATATAGATATTATATACTATAAAACTACACATGTAACTACACTCACTATATAGAAAGTGAATAGCTAGTAATAATACCTTTATTATAATCATAATGTATTTATAACATATAGTAGCTAATATGTATATAGTGAGCACAGTCCCCATTTACAAATCTAGCTACACTGACATTCTCAATCACAGGACTACTTAAGCTTTAACCACATGACTCATACAGCTACCCTGTCACAGAGCCTAAGGCCCCTCCAAGTTACAAATCTTTTCCCAGTTTGCCAACAAAACACTGCTGTTGTGCCACCATCCCCTCACAGAACCAGAACTCCTCTTATTTTTGTTATACTGACAAATTCAAATTAAAGGCAGAGCAATCTTACACAGGGCAGTAAGCCCAACTCTTTTAGAGCTCCATTAGGCTTTTACTACTACCTGTGCTTGACAGCGAACCAGAACTGCACACAGAAATCCAGGCAGGCTGCACTTAGTACTGCCAACATTAATGCTCCCCTGATGCACATTAAGATTGTGCTCAGCTGTCTTTCACACCCACATGCCTTTAACAGTCCACTTTCAGTCACTGTGAATTAATAGTTTTTCTCCTCTCCAACTGATGAACATTCCAAGTTCTCTCATATGAAGATACTCACAAAGAAAAACAAAATCCTGCTACTAGCCCATAGCCTTACAGTTGGCACCAGTTGAACAGTCATCTACCCATACGGTACCCATAGGGAATAAAGTACCCACAGGAGTTAAGTAATTTGTTGTTAGCAAACGTGGCATTAGTAGTTAATGCTAACAAATGAAAAGATTGCCATTCAAAGCTAATACACAATCCACAGTATCCTGTGACTAAGGAAAAAGGTGATCAAAAGCAAATACCGTGTTTAAACGAAGGCTATTCCAGCTGTACCTTTATGTGTCACACTTCCTAGGCATTCTCCACCCTCATTTTTACAGAGGATTTTCGTAATGCTTAACACTGCATTACCCAGTGTAAGGAAGAGGGAACCATTTCACTTTAAAACCACGTAAGCGAGCCAAGAGAAAACTTATACATCATTTAGTTTGCTTTACCAAGCCTTGCTCTAAGCCGCAGACTAAACCAGCCCTTGAGTAGAATTCATGTCTTTCACCTTCTCTCATTTGCTCATTTTCCCAAGGACTGACAGATCTTGCACATGCCTGTTACAACACGTTGGAGGGGTATAGGGGCCCTCAGGTTGGCAGGGTTTTCGGAATGGGGGTTGCTGCCAGATGAGCACCCAAGTATAATTTTCCATCAAGTTTCAATGACGAAATGGGGTTTGTGTACTTTTGGCAACCACTTAACAGTGCTCACACTCAAACGGTAACTGAGCCTTTAAGTTAGCATCCATTCAAGAAGAATGGGCAAAACAAATACTTCTGTCTAACTAAGAGATAGCTGTACATAAAACCACTTTGGCAGTACAGATATGACATGACCTCCATTCCCATAACTTTCCACCTTCACCAGTATCTGGACAGCAGACACCATTTGTTCCACTTACAAAGAGTCAAGCTATTTAGAAACTGCACATGGTTTCCATGGAACAGGCCACACAGATCATTTGGTATTAGTTCAGTGTCACTCATTTTTATCTAATATAAATAGGCAGCCTAATATGGGAAGTTCACTTCAAGTTTCCCCTTCAAAACCCCCATCTGTTTCATGAGACAGAACTTACACAAAATGAGCCAAACACACCTCTGTCCCTATGAAAGATAGTTTCACTTCAGCATGTTTAATGTCTTGTGCTCTTACAGCCACACGCTACTACTCTTACAGATGGAAAAATGATGCTTAAGTGACCATAACACGCCTGTGTGACGCAAATGGTTTCATTCCAAGGGCACTACCCACCAGCTACCTAGGGTAACACTCAAATTCTTTACGCTAAAACTCATGAATACATTTTAAAAACGGTCAAGACATCAGAACTGCACAACACCATAAACCGCAGTTTCTCTAGTCTGGTTCTGTCTCTAATAGAGACACTTGCTGCTCATGAAAGCCTGGATTCAGAAAGCCGTGTCAAAGCAGATAGCATCTGGCTCTGCTCTGTCCCCAGATCTGGATTGCCTGAGGAAGCATTTGCTATACATACAATACAGAACTTTCATAGTAGTCATCTCTGAAGCATTTCAGCCAAACATTTCAGACTAGCCTGAATACTGTGACTGCACTTGTGTTTCTACTGACTTCTCCTAACTGGCTGCCTGCATACTCTGACACACTCATTCTACCAGCATTGACGATACAGGGGGAAACTAACAAGCTTCAGGCACTGCTTTCTTAGAACTCAGACCAATGTAAGAAGAATCTCATCAAGGCTTCTGAAAAGAACCTCACAGATTTCTATTTCATTCTTCAGGATACCATGAGTCATTCAGTCTACTAGATGGAAGAATGAATGTGGACATTTGAGATTTATACCGCTTTACAGACTGTAATTTTGATGAAACCAACAGAAGGCGAGTGTTAGCAAAAAGGGGCTACAGGACTTTTTTAAGTTTACCATCTAACTTTATAAAGGATAAAATTTCTTTCCAGGTTCCTTCTCCCATTAACTCTGTACGAATTATGGGCTTGTCTTCCCTTTAATTAAAAGTAAATATTTGGGGAAAACACATCTATTTGATGACAATACCTGACACAAGACACACTTCATCTAGTGCTACGGGTTAGGTGGGGCAGGGCAATGCTCAGATAATGGTCACGACGAGGCAAGGACCCTGAAGAGATACAGAGGAGCCTTACTTTCTTTCTGAATTTCCCAAAAGAAGCTCCTAGTTTCCACCCATGCGCCACCAACACTGCTTTATACTTCCCGTCTTCCTTTACCACCTCCCACCTGCACCCCGGGCAGGTTCCGTCTTGAACAGCACCCCCAGCGTTACCCGAGGCCGGGTACGCACATGGAGAACAAACCCGAGAGCCTGGACAGGCACCCGCAGCACGGCCGGAGCCCGCCCCACGCTCCAGTCTCCCCGTGCTCCCTCCGGGGGGACCCGCGCAGGACACCGCTGTCACGGCCGGGGCGGGAAGGTTTCCCGGCGGGGCTCCTGCTCTCTTCCCCCAGGCCACCGAGGAGGGCGGGGCGGCACCTCGCTCCCCGGCACGTCCCCGCCGCTCCGCCCGACGCACGCTGCCTCCGGGCGGCCTGCGGTGCCGCAGTACCCCGCGGGCCGCGGCAGGTGCCGCCCGCCCCTCCGAGCCCCCCTTCCCCCTGCTCTGCCCTCCTCCCGCCGCCAGCGGGACACCGGAGGGGCTGTCGGCCCCAGCCCGCTGAAGCTCCCCTGCGGCGGGAGGGAGGAGAGTCCCCGCGGGCGGCCCGGGACGGGGCCAGGCGTGGCGCGGCACGGCAGTACTTACAGCCGTTTCTCCTGCGGCTGCAGCTGCCGGTGCATGGCCAGGGAAAAGCCGAAGAGGCTGCCCGGCTCCCCGCGCCGGCTGATCACGTTGTCCGTGTCCAGGTTGAAGGCTCCGGCCAGCCCCGGCAGGAGGGGCAGGTACAGGAGCAGCGCGGCCGCCATCTCCTCTCGCCGGCCGCGGGAACCTGCTGCCGAGCGCCGCCTCTCCCCGCGCTGAGGGCGCCCGTTGTGCCCCGCCGGCTCCGCGCGCCGTGACGGAGCCCAACCCAACCCAGCCCAGCCCCGCCCCGCCCTCCGCGGGCTGCCCGCCCCCCGCCCGGCGCACAGTGCCCCGGGGCTCGGCCCCCGGCCAGCGGGGGTGCCGCGGTGCGCCCTGTTTTCAGGACCGAAAACAAAGCGGTGTCGGGGGCCGGGTACGGCCGCAGGTGAGGGCTGGGCCCTAGCCCGAGGGGGAAAAGGCAGAGATCCCCCCCAGGGGGCACGATGAGAGCTGGCAACTGTCTGGGTACCGATAGTGGGTACTGTCTGGGTGATACGGGTGGCGTGACCCCGCGGCGTTCAGTCCGTGTACCCCAAACAACACAGCCGTGAGAAAAAGAAGAAGAAAAACCCCACACCGGTGCATATGTATCTCTGTTCTACAGACTTTTCAATACAGCACAAGAGGGCAGAAGTCTCAAGACCACATGAGCCTCCTCCAGCATTTTCCATCTCTGAACACATCTGAGAATTCCTTACCCCTACCTTCTAATGGTTTGAAAACAACATGTGGGTTTGGAGCCCAGATCTTTTTATCTCATGCCTATTGCACCCATAACTCCAGAGGGGTATTTGCTAGCATACCTTAGTGCACTTCATCCACCCAAGAGGGAGGTTTTGGGCTATTTTTAACAGAATCTTGGTTTAGTGCTTTGGTTTGGGGAAGAAGATTCAAGCCTTTAAAACCTCACAAGTGCCAAGAAACATGACATTATCCTTGTTCTTTTCTATTGATATCCAGAACATGAAGAGAGAAACTTTTTTTCTCACTCAGGAGATTCCAGAGAAAGTGAGAAAAGAGCAATTGAGACAGAGCACTCAAATATGTTGGTACTCCAAATAACTCCTTCTGGAACAATACTCTGCTCCCATGGAGTTAATCCAGGCTACTTTTTCCTGAGTAATTATTCTAGGATAACTCCGTGTATAGACAAGTCATTGGCTCAAGTCCAAACACAACACCCTTGATCAAAAGGGAGGAGAAAACGCACCAGAAATGTGCGTCTAATGTGGAAACAAAACATTTTGTTAAATTAGGCTCCCAGATACTTACTGCTAATAGAGTTCTTCCCGCTTGCTCTTCATGCCCAACTCATTCAAAGTCTTAATCCAGTGTTCAGTCACTTCAGTCATTGTCACAGCAGAAAATCCTACTGGCATAAACACCATACTCTGGTTTCGCTAAAGGACCCATAAGAGGGAAGAGTCCCAGACTAATTACCAACAGGCATACTACAAGCCATGTATTTCACAGTAATTAGTAAAGATTTGAAAACAGGTCTTTGAAAATAGCATTGAGGTTTGTACTAAAAAATCTTAGCAGTTTGCCCTTCAGGACCATTGAAACTTGCGTTCTCGTAATACTCTTACAGTAACTATAGTTACTTTTTAAGTAATGCTTGTACTCAATAGCTTGTGTAAGGAGTCACAGAAATACTTTCATTCACAGCCATCTGAATGATACTGGCATGTTAGGTTCATCCGACTTCTCCCTCTCCCTCCCTCTAATCTGTGCTGCCTGGGCATGTTGTACCTGTTTATTGTTACCCACAGAGGTTGCTGAGGGGAGACAAGAGTTTTCTCATCTCGAGATGCAGTAACAAGCATTCCAAGACATAGTGATATTAAAACCTGTCCCAGGTGACCACAGCAGGAACAACAAAAATAGACCGTATACAGGGTAGAGCAGAACTGCACACAAACAGCTCAGAGTTACCTTGGATGGTCTCTCATCATTTTGTACTATTTCCATTTGCTCTAGATGAAGAGAGGAAAAAAAAGTTAAAAAAGTAAAAATAAAAAAAAAAGTCAGTTTCCTTCCTTTGCTCTTCCTCCAAAACAAACATGCTGTGGGTTATCTACAACTAACATGTACTTTGGGAATTCCTCTTTTGTACTACCCCTATATAAAGGGGGACCAAGATTAAGTATGATGACCAATTAAACATGAGCGCTCTGCTACGTATAACAACAGGGCAATTCCAAGTAAGGCAATGGCCAGATCAAAGCTGCCTCTCTTTTTTGGAACAAAGGCTCTGCTATTGCCGAGTTTTCAAGCTGTCTGCTTATTAATGGTGTGTTGATGCTCAGCCAAAGGGCTACAAGGTGTTTGCCTGCTGTGTCTACATCTCGAGCAAGCCTTTCTGCCAGCAGTACTTTCCTCCTCCGTACAACTGTGTAGTTCTTCACAAAGGAAAAGAAAATAAATTCTGGAAAAAAGAAGAGGTGGGAGGGGAAAGCCAGAGCTTGGCAAGACATTTTAGGCTTTCCCTAGAAGGCAGGCAAGGCACAATGCTTTATGTTTCTGAACTCTTATCATTTATATGAACAAAACATACTATGCAAAGAAATACACAACTTGTGGATGCTTGGCTGTGCAGCTCTAATGCAGCACATCAAATGGTCCAAAAAAGCCAAAATATGTAAACATCCCCTTCCCATTTCATTAAAAAAAAAAAAAAAAAAAGGCTTGATGTTATAATTGATGTAATTCCAGATGAAAGAATAATACAGGCCAAAACCGTTTGGTTCACTGTGCAAATTCTAAAGCTATACAGGTGTTTCAGTTCAGAAACATAAACTAGTTTTAAAGTGTTAGTCACCTGGATCAACCTTCCAGATTGTTCCTCCTCAACACAATACACATACCATTTTTAGAACTGCATGTTCTCCAAATTATTTACATTTATTGAATGGATGCATCTCAACAGCTACAATAAACAGCTGAACTTCTATGCACCCAGTGCTATCAGACTATTTTTGCCAATATATCCTCTGAATGTTCCTGGCTCTCTGTTAACGATGATATTAGGAGTAGCAGAACAGCAGCGCAGAAGATAAAGGCTTTTACGGTGGTAAGGGAGACAAACTACACATCACCGTGTAAGGAAAATGTTTTGCTCTGAACAATCTAGAAGCCGGCGTGTTAAAATAGTTATATTCACACACTTGGTATTCTGAATTATACAGAACTGACACTCAGTGTATTTGTGTAACTGAATGGAGAATGTTGCTAATTCTACTATCTTTTCAGAAAGACAACTAAGATGCAGCTCTTACTTGTGGCTATATTTGAATCAGATTAACTGCAGTTCCAGAGGAAGATGTTGCTATCTTAACACTTTCATTTTTCTCTTTGATGTTTAAAACAACTGCAGACATCATTCTGGCATTCTTTACTGGCTCGCAAAGTAAAAATACTTTACCTCTGTTGACAAACTGGTTAGAATTTGACACGATATTCCAGATGTAAAGTCTTTAAATCTGAGCTTTTAACATTCAGTATAACGGCTTTAACTTAATGTTTCTATATAATATATAAAGTATTACACAAATAAAAAATAGGAGTTGAAAGAAATATTTCAATCCGGACTCAGAATTTTGGTGAAGACTGCAAGCAGTGTTACAGAGCAGCTCTTTGTCTTTTACATAGAGAGAGTATTTTTCCAGCGAAGTTGACAGGTACATTCCTTAAGTACTTTCAGAACGATCAGCCTGAAGGGTTTGGAGAGTAAACATCTTTGTAAACATACTTGGAGGCACTTTATGAGCGTAGCTAGGCAGAGATCAGAGAAATGATGGTGACAAATGGGAACTAAACACCCATAGTTTGGATTGCTGTGGAAGGATTAAGGATGTTCCTTCAATATTACTGATTCCTAAGCATAAAATTGCAGTCATCTTTAACATGTGCCTGTATTCCAGTTCTCTAGTTACATACACCACTACGCAAGATTCCTCCTTAGTAAGGGCAGCCTCGGCTTAAACATCATTATACACATCACATGTGCCTTTGCAGCCCCATTTTGTGGCGCTCTCAGCCAGACATATACATCTTCAAATCTCTTATATCACCATGGGTGAAACTTGTAGCACTGACAGCATCCCAGACCCATCTATACCATGCATAGTCCTTGATCTGCAACACTATCCTGCACATGAAACCTTGCTTGTCTTGTACCATTGTTCACCAGGGCAGAGACATAACCCAACACCCCATGCAAACTTCTGTGCAATTTGAGCCAACTCTCCCTCAATGTCTATCGATACGTGCATCTTTCACACAATTTGCACCAAAGCAGCCAACCATTGCTCATAGACTAACAGAAGAGATTAAAAAAGCAAGCAAGGTATTTCTTGGGGGTGCTGGCAGAGAGCAGGACAGGAAGAGAGGAGGTTTACAAGCAAGATATTCACAAGATCTCCATAGAAATTCTCTCCAGGAACTGAAGAAGCAAAGTGAACCTTCATGGGATAACATTTTAACTCCATCAAGAGCCAAAAACAGTCACTAACCAAGACAAAACACTTTTGTTCTCCTGGCTCACACAGCCTGACTAAAGAGTGTTTGGCCATTGCCCAAAACACAACTCCACACAACCTTGATAGCACTTACCTCCAAGCATTGTACCAGGTGCTGAACACACAGGACCTAGCCCTGGGACACAGACCGCAAAGCACAAGACCAGGAATTACAGTCACTTGAGGAATGTGGTCACTACCTAGCTTTACCCTAACAGCACAGCATGGAATGGGAGAGACCCCCAACTCCCCTTGAAGCAGATTAGTGGAAGCAGCTGCTTGGTCATTACCAGACTTGTTACACCTGCCCCCCCATCAGATCCTGGATCAGACCCAGCTGTTTTGCTTCCATGTAGGAGGTAAAGCCCAGTCACTCTGCACAGGAGTGTCCAGTGACTGAGAAGAACCACGCGGAGAAACTGGACTTCTGTGTTTGATTTTTAATAGATTTAAGTTTTTCAGTAGTTACTGCCTGTGACAATTTTGCAGTTTTGGTACTACAGCCACCTCATTTACATGTCAACTAAACCATGTCTGCCACTGATTCAACAGGACCTGTGTTCAAGACATGTTTAAACATGGCTTTCAAGCCATTCCAGGCAGAGCTAGCAGAGGCTGCTTCTATGGTTAAGTTCTAAAGTTAGCAGCCTCAGAAAGATTCTTCCTCTGTGTTCTTCACTTTTAGTTTGCTAATAGAAGGCTTCTTAAAA